GTGTATCCAGATCTGCATTACAAGTCTATGGTCGCCTAGTGGTAAAGTTTGTGGCTACGATGCCCTGGGTTGAAGGTTGTAATCCCGTCCTGTTCCTCTTTTTTCACATGGTTTTCGGTATACTTTTATTTGCCGGTTATCAATCCTAAGCGATCGTGTCAGATTTTACTGGATTTAGGTATTTCCAGAAACTGATTTTGAAATATATATTAATTTAGCTTGTGGTATTTCTACTAAAGCTGTAACTTCAAAACATATTGATAAATAAATGGATTATGTTTTAACAAACGTGCTCCGAGTTCCATTTATTTTGGTTACGGATAATTTTTGGGTGATGAGAGTTTTTTTAATGTAGTATCTTATGTTTAGTTATCCTTTCATTTTTTTGAATATGATTTCGTCTATGACCTAAAATTCCAACTTATAAGCATTTCTTACTACCAAAGTGTTATTTTAATTGAATAATCCCAGAACTATTTTTATTAGAGGTTTTTTTATGTAGTCGTGAAAGGTTTTTGCAGCATTTATAGTTTCTAATAAATTTCAATTCAGTCGATATCTAGTCAAAATAAATATTGGTAAAAAATAAGTAATATGTTTGTATAGGATCGGATGCACAATTTTACCTCTTATACTATCTCAAATTGTTGTTTATTAATTATAAGTTCATGGTAAAAAATCATTTATCATTGGATAAATATAATGAATAAATTTTATTCAATGTAAAATTAAAGAAAGTATAAATACTTAGTTAAATTTTTTTCCTACATAAAAATAGAAAAATGAAAACAGTATTTTAAAGGTAAAATTATGTAGTTTTGATGATCATTTAAATAGAATATAAAATTCTAATAACTAAAAGTATTAAAACATTAAAATAGCGATTCCAATGACTTATTAATTATTATATCAACACATTAATTATTAAAATACACAAATTTGACAAAGTAAAATCATAATACAGTTCATGATTGAAAAGTTGAATAATAATTACAAAAAAATATGAGGTCTCTATAAANTAATTACAAAAAAATATGAGGTCTCTATAAATGTTCGTTGATGTAGGAGTTCAAATATAGTTGATATTTGTGCGTATTTATTCGCTGTTCTCTCAAACATTGTTTGTTGATATTTCCATTTAATTCATCATGAAAAATCTTATTGTTACTTGTTAGTTTTTATTTAGAGAGAAAAGAAAAACAACGTGTTCATTTTTTAATAAACAGATCTCATTTCGTATTTCATTTCTTTTAAAAACATAACCAACCAACTATTTTATCTTCTTATTACTTTGTTAGGCATGACAACATTTTTCCAGCGCCGCCACCACATAACGCGAATGCAAAAGTCCCACACGATGTTGTCGCATATTATACAATAATACGAGTAATAATACAATAATAGTACATTTACAACATTTCATCTAAACTGTACCATTACAATGTTTTTATAATTTATTTAATAACATTTAAAATTTCACAAATATGTCTCAAAAAAATAATAGGATTTTAGAAAATAGTGTATTGTATCGCTTAAAATAGTTAAACATCTAAATTAACTATCTAAATTAAAACTTTGCTGATCTACATTTTGTATTTCTTTAAGTAATCATGAGTGTACACTATTTCAACAGGAGGCATTTCGTAGAATACACATTATAAAATATTAAGGAGGACAGTTCACAACTCATAGCTTAAATATATAGAAATATTTCAAGTAAATATATTCAATTCAGCACACATTTTTTTTATAAGCTTATGGAAAATGTAAAATAATTCAATATTATTTGAATGTAGATTACACAGATATAGAATAATAAGTTATTTATCTTAATATTTTCCTATTAAACTTATAAAATTTATTCTGTTATCATAATTTTAGAACGATTTACAAAATAAATATATGTGATTGATGCTCTTGTATGGGGGTGCGGCACCTCAAACACGCGTACAGCACGCAAGTTCAAGAATTAGCGCTAACCTACTTTTGTTTCACCGAGCTGTTCTACACATACGAATACTTTATGTATTCTTACATTAGATTCTGGTAGTAATGTATTGTTTAATAATACTGCCAAAAATTAAAATGAAAATATAGCTTATTTACTAATCAAGTTTTTAATGTCTTAATTTAAAGATTACATTGTAAAATTTAACACAAAGTAAACTTAATATATAATAAAACACAAAAGATTCAAAATAAATTCTTATTTCGAACTTGTTTTTTTTGCCAATAGTGAAATTATAGAATATGACACTCGCATCGCCTAAAATAAATGATTAATTGATAATTATTATTATATATTTATTATTATTATTTTAATCAAATCACACACATTATAATGAATATATTTTATATTGAATTTGATATCATATAACAATTTCAGTGTTTTCTCAAAAAAAAAAACTTACAGAGCCAAATACTTCTAAATTCAACGATTTTTGTGGAGTAATATTCATCTTAAATCTGTTCGTGTGATTTAAACTCATAGCCAACAAGAGCATTTTTTTTAATTTTATACTTTTCTCGGTCCAATTAATACTATACATAGCAAACTGTACTCCANTACTTTTCTCGGTCCAATTAATACTATACATAGCAAACTGTAATCCATTCATCTGATAAAATAGTATAAAGTATAAATGTTAAAATAGAAGTCACTAAAATTTATGGAGAATGGTCATTAATGAAGTAGTAAAGTTTTACATATTATTCTCATATAATAATTAATTTTGTTAATAAATAACAAGCATTTTTCTATAAAAAAATTGTGTTGGTTTTTTATGACAGATATGGATCATTTATTATCAGTGGGAGTAAGGCACATTGTTGTAAGTATATAAATACACCAACAGACAATACAAAAAGCATGTATATTGATAAAGTTCTAATTTACATTAAACACTCCGCATCTATGATAGTGAAGTCATAGGGGTGTATTTTGTTCGTTAATAAATTTTTGAAAAGAACTCTCTAACATTTTTTTTATAAACACTTATTAACGTCATTAATTAAGTATTTATATCATATTTAAGTAAAAATTACATCAAAACGTGCTGCCTACTATCAAAATTTATTTATTCAATTACATTTTTGATGTGGTTCAATCAAAAATTATATTAATAATTTAACTTAATTTTCGAGATAACTATAACATAGCTCTAAATAAACAATAGTTTAGTAGTAATCCATAGTAAACTATTATACAAAACATTAAAATGTAGATACGGAGTAAAATGTTTTATTAAAAATTATTAAAATTCATTTAAACTATGTTTGTTTATTATACTTTATGCACTTTACTGTTTCGTACTTTTATTCATGAGACATACTTTTTTCGTAAATTTTTGATAAAAATTTATTTGTATAAATATTTTAAAATGTCATATATGGAATATGTATATAAAATTTTATTCAAAATGTAATTAAAATCATGACAAAATAGATAGGTATGTCAGCAACAAACGAGTTTTAGACCGTTTGACGCATCCCGCCCTTCTCACACATAGTAGTGGTTCGCCTCATTTCATTGGCCGTAGGTTTGCCCGTCAAAATACAATTCTTTAAATCAAATATTTGACAGCAACTTTAATATTTTGTATTGTTTTTTATGATACCTTTATCTTTTTCTATTATTGATTGATATCAATCTATCGTGATATCTATTTATACTACAATATAAACAAATATGATCAATTTGCAAATTATTTGATATGAAATAATTATGCCGGGTATATTAAATAAAATAAACAGCGTTTATTTTAAGTGTCTTAAAATAATTTGAAAACCTGATATACTTACATACTTTTACTTAAATTTAAAAAACAAAAATTTACTTAATAAATAAATGTATGTAATAAGTAAAATTAAATTACCAAATAACATTAGGCCAGTTCGCCTTAGGATACTGTGCTGACAAACCAACCTCTTGGCTTTATAAAAAAAAAAAAAGTAACATTAATGTGAAGCAAATTATATATCATTTAATGCAATGAAAGCACTTCTAAATATTAAGTAAATTACATACATAATTTTTCATTATTCCTCTATACGCTACAAATTATTTTTGCACAATAATAAATATTAATGCATAAATGATAATAATATCACTATATTTATGGAAAATGACCATACAAATATTAGGCCAACGAAATAAGGCGAACCAGCTATAGATGGGTTGAGGAGTGGGTTGCGTTTAACAAAGTTGCTGAAATACCTATCTACTTTGTCATAATTAAAATGTACTAACTACTTCTAAATTTTATTTACTTGATTTTCAAGATAACCATAAAAATAGCTTATAACAAACAAATCGATAATGATCAATGATGTTCCTAATAATATTTTCACCAAAGGAACTGACAATACGCAGTCATTTTGAAAGTAAATCTACAAACAAATTTCTCATCAAATTATGAAAATCACTTGATTGTTAAATTTGAAAATACATACCAATATACACACATATGTGAGAGCATTTAAAATATTTAAACAATATACAAAAGTAAACCACGTCATCGGTTTCATGATTTCATGAAATTTCTTAATTGAACTAATAAGAATAATAATGATTAATAAAAATGTAACATCGAATTAGTTATTGGATCATCTACCATGTTATGAATAACAAAATGCGTTTTAAAAAACTATGTTTGACAATTAATCATTGTATAAAAACGCAGATAATATTCGTAACATGATGATAAGAATAAATATATCATTTTAACAATACATAAAAATAAGTGTTAAGTATAAAAAAGATTACAATGATTGTAGTCACCTTGATATAAAATAATTTTATCAACTTACACATTTATCTTTGTCTGATCCAAAAGTATTTGATTCAAATGTTTCATGTAGTAAGAGTCGTTTTTTTGTTCTATTTGGAAAATTAATAATTAATTTAAAATCTTACTAGCAATGAAAAATTTATGGTTTCCTTTTGTATTATCAAAAATCATTGATAAAATAAAGATTAACTATAATCATTTCACACGTACCTAATTCAACATTTTCATATCCAAATGATTCGAATTCAAACGTAATTATTTTCAGTTGAGCTGATAACATCCAACAAAATTGTATAACTATTGTATAGTAGAAAAACAATTCAGAACAAGCATGTACTAATTCGAAAGCTTCCAATAGATAAACAATTGGGTAAATTTGTTCATAAACCGAAATGGGTATAAAACTTAAGAATGAATTTAGGATGTTGTTATGGTAAATAACCAGACTGCCGTCTCTTCTTTTTAGAGGAAATTCTTTTATAAATAATGGACTAAGGAACCAAACTAAACACGACGAAATATACATAAATAAGTTTATATTTATTATTTTAGTACACTTAGATTCGTTGTGTTTAAATATATATTTTGCTTTATAATTAGAAGACAAAAAATAGCTACTCGTTGCATCTAATAATTTCCTTAATTCACCATATTTTTTAGAAAGTCTATAGTTGTTTAGATATATTTGAATAGCGGATATAATATATATAAATAATTGTGTAGCTGAAATAAAATCGTTTTTCACATAGTAAAAACCAATAAACACATAGCAATTGATTACAATAAATTCCACTAATAATAATAGAACATAAAAGAGTTGATAAAACTTGAAATTGCGTATTGCTGTCAGATTAAATGGATTAAGTTCACAATGCAAATTTAGAATCTTTAATATTCGATCATTTAAAATAAATTTCTCTCGAATTTGGTTTTGCATTTTATTTCGGAGTAAGGTTGTTCTGCCCTTGTATGAGTAATTGATCTAAAAAAAAAAAGATGTCTGAAATTAATATTATTTATTACTTTTTTGTATTTTTCTTGTTGTTCTTTTCTTTTTACTTAATTAATTGAATAATTAGTATATGACTTTTACACACAAAAATTTTTTTTGTCTGTTTGAAAAATATGAGTTAGACTTGTGATATATTCACTGAATTTGACAGTATTATATTGGGTATTTATAATTAGTAAAATAAAGGGATTCTGCTGTTCACAATTGTGGTAACAATTAACTTATTTTTAAAATTTTTAATGCTTATACTAATAATGCATTTATCATGAATCATTTAATTAATCGAAAAATAAAAATAATTTCTAGATTTTATTTTTTGATATCTTTTAGGGGAATGTTTTTCTCAATTTATCAATGAGTAAGTATTTTTTGTTCATCTCTTATACGTTATAAGGGTATTACTTTATTTTTAAAAATAACACCATACATAACTGACTAGATTATTTAAAAGATCTAATTACAAAAATGGCTGTTGGATAACAATTTTTGAAATAGTACTTCAGAAGTTATTGTCGTTTCTATACCTTGGCGGAAAGGCAAGTTCAGCCAAGAAACGGCTAGTGATAAAAATAACTACACCCACACCTTATCTCGAATCTTCACTATAACGTTTTAATAGTTTCAAGAATACTGGTCCAATAGTTGTTATCGACTAGTAATTTTCTTTATTACGTCATTATCAAAGAAATAAGCTAGTTAATTTGTAGTATAATTATTAACACATGTACTAAATATCACATATATATGAATAAAGCCAAAAATCATCTAAGGAATGTTTCCCTTTTAGGGTAATAAAAATAACTATTTATCAACACATGTTTCAAACCAGTCCCCTACAATTCATTAACTACGCCCACGGCAGGGTTTCTATCACAATTAACCAATCACAAATAATTATCCAACATCTTAGGAATTTCATTAGAGATCGCTGGCTTACTTCATCCGGCGTATAAAAAGCCATTTTTTCTCGTAAAAAGGGCTGCTCCTGCTCTCGTCGCGTTTTTTCTTGGACCTCTGACGACTTCGGACGATCTCTCTTATAAATATTCTCTTACATGGAATCTGCGTCAGTATAAGTAAATATTTTATCTCTGTGACTTAGTTTTTTTTTATGTATCATCCTAAGTGGTGAACATTGTCTTAGATGATTTATTAATATTTTACACAGGAACAAGTTTTTATTTATTTTATTATCACCTAATGTTCTCACGACAAATAGACATTATATCTATTTATATATAAAGGTTTTAAATATTATTATGCACTTCATTTCTGGACAGCCTCAAATGTGCCGAAAAGAGTGAAGAAGCGTAATTTTATTTATTTAGACATAGTTTGTAATATATAAGAATTTTAAATATTATTGTGCCCTTCATTTCTGGACAGCCTCAAATGTGCCGAAGAGAGTGAAGAAGCGTAATTTTATTTATACAGGCATAATAGCCTTATACATTATCGTATATTCATAATAAAGCTTATTGTGCCCTACATTTATGAACAGCCTTAAATGTGCCGAACTAAATGAAGAAGCATAATTTGTGATTAGAATTAACTAGTTTTAGTAGTAGTACTTTATGCCTGTGTACCCGCCAGCCTTAAAGGACTATGCCAATTACCTTTCGGTAACGTGTAGGCAGTTGACGTAAAGGATAGTAGAAGATGTATTGAAATAATATTTAAAATATATTAGCGAGGTAACTGTGTCCGCGCCAGCCAAGGCTTTACGCTGAGAAACGCTGGGCCACCACAGTCTTGTTAATTATATTTTGAATATAGATAGACATATTCTTATAATTATATTTTGACTAGTTCAGAGTAAATTTTAAGAATATCGATATCGACTGTAGGGAATTCATCGCAAATATTATAAGTAAAAACATAGTATAATATAATAGGAATTTAAAGAAAATAAATAAAAAAAGGGGTAAAAAATTATAATAGACGCAGGTCCCATTATAGAGAATCCTTTTTCTAAGTCTTATATACACAGAGATACTAATTTATCGAAATAAACGCAAACAGTATAAACGACAGTTAACACTGAAAGAAGAAATCACCATAAAACCAACTCAATCAATTACTAAAGGAAATAAAGGTAAGTGCGAATATTTATTTGCATGTCTTACTTCTAAAAAATCACGTAATAAACAAAAATAGGAATAAATGAGGTAGGGGTATTTTATTATTTAATAAATAAATATAAGTTAGACCCCGAGATACGATTTCATTAATACCATCTTTACCCCTTAACCTTTCTTTTTTTTTGTTTATTACAAATTACTTATATTGCCACATAAAAAATAAATAAATATGATAAAATACATTTTACATCATTATAAGGTATAAGGTTTGAACATAAAAAAAAAAATAATTAATAAATTAAGAAAAAAATGTAACTAAAAGAAATATAAAAAAAAAAAAAAAACGTTAGCACAATGGGGCCGATGCACAGTGTGGAAGTGGCATGCTAGGGACAAGTATAGATGATGTCTGTTAGTGATTAAAATCATTATCATAAGAAACGCTTTGATGTTAATCTATAGATAGAATTATAAGAAATTGGTGGAATATATCAAAAGCAAAATGAATTTCTATTTCCTTCATTATTCCTGATTAGTAGTTCTTTGATTTATAAGTATAAGATATGAATAAATATTTATTACAGCAATTAAGTATAGTATAAAATTTATATTTAATAATTTTGTGTTGCAATTTTTCCAGGAAACTTATAAAAAATTATAAAGTGGTTATTACTTTTATTGGCAAAATCATAACTTTTCAGAAAATAATTTGTTGTTGATTATGAATTAAAGGTTTGACAAGGAACTTTTATCATAGTCAAAAACGGGTGCGGACTGGCCCACCGGGATATCGGGAAAATCCCGGTGGGTCCCCTTGATACTACGGCAAATCAGTTAATAAAAGCCAACTGCCTATATTTTAATAATGTTTTTTTTACAAAAATCTCCAATTTCCTTTCTGACAAGCAAAAAAAAGATTATTTTATTTAATTTATTCGCGCCAAACAGCAATTTACATAATGTTTACATCTAAGTGATTTAATTTATTAAAGATTAAGTATATAATAATAAAGTAACTAGTGATATAACAGAGGAGTGCTAGTAAAAATGTGCTAATGGCGTTGATTGACACTACGAAGCATACAGTACAGCGAACTATTATAACTATAAGAGATAGATTAAGTCGGAATATGAATGGATGTTCGATGGAAATACAAAACCAAGAATATTAACACAATAATAGCATATTTTTAAATACGGTAGCTATTTTCACCATGTGTTCTCCTAATACGATATTTTAAAATAAAATATAAAACCTAGAATTTTAATAAAAAATAGCATATTTTTGAATATGGTAGCCATTTGCGCATAGAAGATAGGTCGTCGGGACAAATTTTTTTTTTTTTGATTTTATAGAACATAAAATAAGCTTTAATTTGATATACGTTTAAAGGATGCAGTATTTCCGGAACATTTTCAAAAATTAAGTTGAAAAAGTTAGTTTTTGTAAAAAAGTTGCTATTTTAAATCCCCCCCCAATAAGCAGGTTAAGTGTTAAATTTTCAAAAAATGTTATCAAATAAAAGAAAAATATCTAAGGTTTTAGTTTAAAAAAAAATTAAGTTTATTTGTTTATTTTTGAAAAAGTTATGGAAGTTTTAAGAAAAAAAAGTGAAAAAAATGACAAAATTTACCGATTTTTAAATTTGTAATTTTTTTGGATATTTCCCCCATTTGCGGGGAACGAGGGAAAATTTATCAATTTTTTTCAATGTCTTCAACTAGATACGTTTTGTGAACTTTTGACGTATTTTTGAAAGAAATCGGTCCAGTGAGAGCTGAGAAAAAGTAGCAAAAGTTATATAAAAAAAAAAAGGTAGAACAGTGATGTGGCGGCACAGTGGGTCTTGGCATAGTTGGGTCCAGTATAGATGATATCTGGCAGTTATTAAAATCACTATCATAATAAAAACGGTTCGATGGTAATCTATAGATAGAATTTTAAGAAATTGGTGGATTATATCAAAAGCAAAATGAAATTCCTAATTCCTTCATTATTCCTGATTAGTAGTTCTTTGATTTATAAGTATATGATATGAATAAATATTTATTATAGCAATTAAGTATAGTATAAAATTGATATTTTATAATTTTGTGTTGCAATTTTGTGTGCGGACTGGCCCACCGGGATTTCGGGAAAATCGCGGTGGGGCCCCCAAAAATTATGGTATATGGGCCTCCATGATACTACAGCAAATTAGTTAGTAAAAGCCAACTGCCTAAATTTTAATAATGTTTTTTTT